GGGCAGCTCTGCGTTGATTTGATTCTACAAAACGAAGGAGGATGCTGAAGAGGTCATAAAGGGACCAGCAGAGCTGAGGTCTCTCCCCAAACAGGCCGCAGAGCATCACTGATGACGAACCTTGGCAGCTTAACGTCTGCGCAGGGAGGTGCAGGCGGCCTGTATGGCTGTGCTGTTATTAAAATGAATGTTCTGAGCCAACCGTGAAGCAACGTATCACAGGAGATGCATCGGTTCCTAACTGCTGTCCTGGAGGTTGGTCATCACGGCCGCCTGGGTCAGCACCCCAGGTCTAGCAGGGTCAGGCCCCCTTGGCGGAAGGGGCTGTCCCGTACCGTCGCCCCATCACCAGCTCAGCTTCACCGGCTCACACACTTTCTAACACGTGTGTCGAAGGGTATGCTGTTGGTGAGAGCTGCCGGCATCCAGGGATGCTCCTTGGGCTGGCATAGCCAACACAGGGGAGGAATTTCAAGTGAGAGCTCAACGCCAAGCTGTCTCCAGGGCCCTCTCGTTTGCTTGCCCACTCGGCACTGCCGGGGTGACTCAGCAGTGGAGAGGAGCGCTTGTGGACCTGCACGGAGGGTCAGGGCCCCCACTGCCCCAGCCCTGCCCCGGCCGCTGGCCTGGCTCTGCCTGTGGCCAGGTCCAGGCACTGTTCTCCTCTCGGTGCACGTATGTGTTTACAGTGTAGCAAATGCAAACGCAAACAGCAGTTAAGTTCATAGGTGTGTGGGTTTCATGTGTATACTTTTTCTGATGCAGAAATGAAACTACTGTTAAATACATTATACTTACATATATATAAATATATATATGACCTGACCGTGAGTCCCAGGGGCTCCCTTCCCTGCAGCACACGCAGGAAGCCAGACTGTCCCTGACTTCAAATCTGGGCCTGCTTCTCTGGAACACGGCCGTCTCAGGGGAGCTGCAAGGGCCAAGAGGCTGCTGCCCAGAAAGTGCTCTGGAGCTCGGTCTGGCCCCTCAGGTGGCGTGTTACCCAGTGACCTCGTCAGCTCGCGTTGTTGTGCGGAGCTCAGACTCCAAGGTCAGATCCTTAGGGGCCTTCGTCTCCACTCAGGTGGTCCTGTTGTTGCCAGGCCGCGGCAGGCGCTCAGCTGTTAGAGGTCGGAGCCTGAGGAAGCCATCATGTGAATACGGTGCTAGCCCACATGGGCCATGGCATGCGCGTGCGTGTGTCTAGAGGGGGTCCATAAGCTCTCCAGGGTGAGGCATGCATTGAGGTATGTCCAGCGTGGTCACAGACACTGCTGACCTCAGGCCCAGGGGCCCCATGGGAGGCAGAGAGCAGGCAGACGGCTGCCGGCCAGTGGGTCTGCAGCTGGAGGTGCAGGGACCACAGAACCGTCCATCTACCTCAAAGCAACTGGCCTTGTTCTGTGCATCTTTAAGACTCAGACTGAGCAACTTTGTTCATAGCCTTGTCACTTTTTATTACAGAACATTCTGAACACACGCAAAGTAGGCAGAACTTGAGATTTTCTTGTGAAAATAGCGCTGACCTTGCACCCCTCCAAGTCTCAGCTCTCCCACTGTGCCTCGTTCTGTCCAATGCAAACCCCAGCATCATGTCATTTATCATAAATATTTCAGGACATTCTCTTAAAAAGGGGGCCCTGCAAAGAGGTGCACTTCACCTAAGTGAACAATATTCATCTATATCTCACATCTGTTCATGTTTAAAGTTTCTGTTGTCATGCTGTGTGTCTGTGCATGTTCAAGTTGTGTGAATTAGAATCCAAACAAGCCCAAACACCGGGATTGGCTGACATGCTTCAGTCTTCAAACAGCGCCGCGTGCACTATGCTCCATCTCTCTGGCTTTTCCTGAGAACTACCTTTTGAAGGAACCAGGGTGTCTCTCCGAGTCTCTGGCAGCCTGCCTTCGTTGGTTATTGGTGTGGAGACACAGAGGAGACATATGCACGTACCACTAAGTGAAAGAAGGCAATCTGAAAAGTCTGCCCTGTGTGTCCAAAGTCCAACCACAGGATGTTCTGGAAAAACTATGGACACAGTCATATGGAGCAGATCAGTGGTCTAGGGGCCAGGGAGGGAGTGATGAACAGGGGGGCACAGAGGATTTTTAGGGCAGTGAAAGCCTCTGAATGACCCCATCGTGATGGATACGTGTCATTACACATCTGTCCAAACCCACAGAACGTACATCTGGAGGGAATTTTAACATGAGCCGTGGACTTGGGTGACAATGTACTGATGTCCGTCAGTTTTACAAACGTGCTGTCTGCTGGGGAAGCAGAGGTGGGGGAGTCCGTGTGCAGGGGAGATGCACAGAAAACCTCTGAACCTTCCCCTCAGCTGTCCTCTAGGCTTAAAACTGCTCTAAAAATTAATTCTATAAAAACAGTATGTTTAAGAAACTAAAAAAAAAACAAAAAACATTTTGAAATGTTATTGCGGGTGGACTCAGTGGTCTGAAGCCATTTTCCTTCTCCATCTTTCATGATCGATGTTGTCGTCATTGAGTGGCCAAGGTGTGTCCGACTCTGTGACCCCATGGCGTCCCAGACCCTCACCATCTCCCAGAGTTTGTCCAAGTTCACGTCCACTGAACTGGTGACGCCATCCAACCATCTCATCCTCTGCCGCCCTCTTCTCCTTCTGCCCTCAGTGTCAGTGTTAAAAGGTCACCATCAGACTTATCTTAAAAAGCCAGGCACATGACCACTGGAAAGCGCCGTACGTGCTGACTGTGACTGTTAACCTGCGTGTCTTTTGTTCCCTTTTTTTACTTGAAAAATTTTCCACCTGGGCAGCATTTTTTTTAAAGCAGGATTTTTAGTATTTAGTTATTGTTGGCTGTGCTGGGTCTTCGTTGCTGTAAGTGGGCTTTTCATTGCAATGGCTTCATTGTTGCAGAGCACAGGCTCCTGAATGCACTGGCTCAGGAGATCTGGCACATGGGATTAGTTGCCCCAAGGCACGTGGGATCGTCCCAGACCAGGGCCAGAACCTGTTGTCCACTGCACTGGCAGGTGGACAATTAACCACTGGACCACCAAGGAAGTCCCGGGCAGCAATTTCAAAATGGAAACGATTTAGAGACCAGGCTGTGCCTCTGAATGTGTCTGTGCACACACGACTCGTGAGGACGAACTGCTGGGAGGTGTCAGGATCCAGGAGAGAGAACCGCAGGGAGGAAGTAAGGTTTCAGAAGAGAGAACCGCGGGGAGGGAGTGAGGTTCCAGGAGAGAAAACCGCGGGGAGGGAGTGAGGATCCAAGAGAGAGAACCGCGGGGAGGGAGTCAGGATCCAGGAGAGAGAACCGCGGGGAGGGAGTGAGGTTCCAGGAGAGAAAACCGCGGGGAGGGAGTGAGGATCCAAGAGAGAGAACCGCGGGGAGGGAGTGAGGATCCAGGAGAGAGAACCACGGGGAGGGAGTGAGGTTCCAGGAGAGAGAACCGCGGGGAGGGAGTGAGGATCCAGGAGAGAGAACCACAGGGACGGAGTGAGGTTCCAGGAGAGAGAACCACGGGGAGGGAGTGAGGATCCAGGAGAGAGAACCGCGGGGAGGGAGTGAGGATCCAGGAGAGAGAACCACGGGGAGGGAGTGAGGTTCCAGGAGAGAGAACCGCGGGGAGGGAGTGAGGATCCAGGAGAGAGAACCGCGGGGAGGGAGTGAGGTTCCAGGAGAGAAAACCGCGGGGAGGGAGTGAGGATCCAGGAGAGAGAACCGCGGGGAGGGAGTGAGGTTCCAGGAGAGAAAACCGCGGGGAGGGAGTGAGGATCCAGGAGAGAGAACCGCGGGGAGGGAGTGAGGTTCCAGGAGAGAAAACCGCGGGGAGGGAGTGAGGTTCCAGGAGAGAAAACAGCAGGGAGGCGTCAGGACCCAGGAGAGAGAACCGTGGGGAGGGAATCAGGATCCCAGAGACCTGAGCATCTGGTGGACTTTTGGATCCAGCTGTACCTGAAGCTACACCTCACTTCTTAGATGAGTGAGTCAATAGTGGAAGACAAGCTCAGTGGAGCTGTGACTGTTACTTACAACTGTTGCACGTGAGGATACAGCCATAGCCAACCCTCGCCTTTAACTGTTGATTACCCCAGGAAATGGGAACAGAAAGGTCTGCTCTGCTTGCTGACTTAGAGGTGAAGCGGGCATGCTTTCTACGTCTGGTGGCTCAACAGTGCTGGCACTCACCCATGCCTCAGACTGGCTCCGCCGACGCCCCAGGCCCCGCTCTCCCCCACACGGCAGGCTGCAGGGTCCTCAGGCCTTCCTGGGCTCTGTGCCTCCACCTGCAGGCCAACCTGGGGTCACCAGCAAGGGCCAGACGGCTGTCTCAGGGCAGGCCCGAAGATGAAATCGCCCCCATACTGCCCTGCGTGCGGAGGCTGAAGGCGAAGCGCCCGGGGTCTCGGGTCAGCGATCCCAGGGGGCTCTGACTGGGGCCGTCTGAGTGCACAGGCCTGCGGGTGAGACACAAGGTCCTGGGGACAGGACCACGCTGTCCGTGCTGCTGGCTGACAAGCCGGACATGACGAATTTTACAATCTTGTCAGCTCTGAGCTCCTAGGATCAGAACTGCTCTGCTTTCCTTCGGTGTTAAATCTAATTTTCATAAATCTATTAGAAATAGCAGCAGTCCTTAGCTTTTCTAAAGCTTTGGTGCGTACGGAACAAGCAACAGCCATGGGCAAGCTTAGGAGGACCCTGCTTCTCCATTCTAATGCCCAAGGCCCCGCTCACTCACCCATGAACCTCCCCAAGTATCCGTCCACAACCTCCCTGACAGGTGCTGGGGAGGGGCGGCGGGTGGCTGGACCCTGAGAGGGAACAGGGCAGAGAAGAAGGCTTACAAAAAAAAGTTTTATTAAATCAAAGAAAAATCTGTTCGGTGGGTCACATATGAAATAGATATACAAAACTTTACATCTGATCTCACGAAGGAGCCGAAGGCAGTGGCCTTTGTCTCGATCCCCATGGGAGTGAGGCGGCGGCCTGGGCGCGGAGCCATGGGACCTGGTATCAGGGCCCCCACGGGCCACAGCACACCGGGCGCCCCCCGGCCCATCCACGCTCTGCGCAGGTGTGCGTGCCGCGCAGCCTCACTTAAACCCTGCACACGCCGCCGCTTCCGTCAGGAGAGCCTGGACGCCGCTGGACTCCCGCGCACCATCCCGAGTCTCGTCGGGGCCCCAGGCCTCACCCTAAGTGACGTGCTGCAGCACTGACGTCACAAGTGCCCCCCCAGCTCTGATGACAGACCCCACGCTCCAGCCCACACCCCTCCTCTGATGACAGACGCCACGCCTGGCCCTGCCGTGTGGCTCGGCTGAGCTCAAGGACGGTCTCTGGTGCGGCCCGCGCTCCCCACAGTGCTGTCCTTAACAAGTTGGCCTTCCTGTGGTAACTTCTAAAAACACCTATTTCTGCAAAATAATGTTTCTGCAGGTGGAGCTCTGCACACAGACACATCCTTCCATGGGTGAGCTGCAGGCTGCCCCAGGTCACATGAGGTCTCCCAGCTCGGCCTCCAGCGCAGCTGCCATCTCGTCCGCCTCTGAGCTGCCCCCCTCCTCGTCCTCGCAGCTGGATGCTCCGCTAGACTCGCTGGCCGCGTCCTCTTCGTTCAGCTTCCTCTTGTGGCCCCTGCAACGGAAGCAGACACGCCATGATGCTCCTAGCCCTGACGGCCAGGGCCCACAGCAGGTGACACAGGGCCTGTGATGCCGGAGGACAGGAGAGGGCAGGGCAGGACAAGGCGCCGGAAAGGGACACGGGGACAGTCATCACAAGACAGGTTCATGGTTCAGGCCTATAATCTACTTTGAGTTAATTTCTGGGTAAATTTCAGACTGTGGCCAAGACTATCTTACATTTGGACTTCTAATTGTTGCAGCACCATTTATTGAAAAGGAAACTTCAGTTATACAAGAGTATGTACATCCCCTGACACACACCTCTGGTTTGGGGAAACCTTCCAAAGAGAAGAAAACCCCCAAAAGTGCAACTCTTAGAGACACAAAAGGCACTGTCAGCAGCCACACACACAAGACGATGTCATCTATTACTCAAGCTCTATCACAAAGATGCTTCTACAACAGACAATAAACGATCTAATCGTGAGAAACACTCCCCAAACAGAAAAGAACTGACCCCCCAAAATAGAAAATTCAAAAAGGACAACAAACACTGAAAAAATAGTGCAACTTAACTGGAAAGTGAAACAGAGGTGCAGTTACGAAGCACCTCATCCCTCAAGCTGGCAGGAGCCGAGGGGAGGCCCTGGGCCCTGCCTGCATGGCTGAGGGGAGGCCCTGGGCCCGGCGTGGGAGTGGGACTGGCCCTGGGAAGCGAGTTCCCGAGCCGGGATGTGCAGCAGGCACGTCTCCCCATGAGAAGACACGTCCCTGGACGGCTGGTCAGCCGCGTCCAGCAAGGTGCCATGGGGTGAGTGCTGGACGGGAGCCTGGTGCCCTCAGCTCCTCAACCAATGCGCTCATGGCTTGGTGCCTGGAACCGCCCGCCACCCTGAGGTCACACTCCCCCATGCCGAGCTCAGAGGCTGAGGGTCCCCCACATCCTGTGCCTCCAGCCCCATCCAGAGGGACACATCCCAGAAAAGGAGCGGGCACCGGACACATGTGTCTTCACGGACTTTCATCTGCATCAGGTAAGCAGAGTGTCACTCTGGACACTCTACTGTTGTCATGGTTACAAGAAGAGCTGCAGGCAGAGCAGCCTTGGGGTGAGGCGCATCTCCGTTTAAAAAACCACTCTGTTTTATGCCATCACTTACAGAGAAACATGAGGTGGCGGGATGAGGAGACACGTGAACTGTAGGTCTCTGGGGCCTGAGCTCAGAGGCTGCACGGAGCAGCCAGGTCTGGGAGGGCAGTGGGACCCCCAGGGCGTCCTGCCTCATCCTAGAAACAGCCCTGCAGCAGCCACACCCACCTCAGACAGGCTGACACGGGACAGGGCACAACCACAGGCCACAGCTGCCTTTCCCCTCCGTGCCCACAGCTGGAACTGGGCGCTGGGCCCCATGGGGCAGGGGACAGGGAAGGGCAAGTCGACTGGAAAGAACCCGTCCTCTCAGGCCCCGTTCACACCTTGAGGGGGCTGGGCTGGGAAGAGGGGAGGGTGCCAGGGTCTGGACATGAGGATGGGGCTGAGTGGGTCCCTGCGATGCTTCCAGCAAAGGTGCCAGCCAAGCTGGGGTCCGGCGCCGGGTGGGGGGAGGTGTGGATGCAGGGCCGCAGCTCTCAAACCAAATCAGAGCAGATGCAGGGCCCCGGGCTGGCACCCCACACTGCAGCGCTGACTCTGGATGTGCAGAGATGCTTGAACAGAAGTTGTTACTAAGTGTAATTAATCTGAAGCACGCAGATTATTTCTTTGTCAAGTGGTGAACATGCAGATACATTTAGAAATAACACCTAGAGACAGTTTTGAAAGACTGCTTCCTTCTTTATCGTTCAAACCACTGCAAACAACCCTATTAACCACATTCCTCACAGGGGTACCACCTCCCAGGGACAGAACTGGAGGTCGTGTGTGTGTGCACACGTGTGCACAGCAATAACACATGTGCAGTGAATAGACGGCCCCAGGCAAGTCCTGCTCAACTGTGGATGCTGGCTCCTAGGCCCCACCTCTGGCTGCATGGCCTCAGCCGCAGCGAGACCCTGGGGACACAGGCTGTTCCTCCAGGTCCTTCTCGGCCACCTTCTACTCTGTGTGCTGGGAGACCCCCAGTGAGTCACTGGGGAGGGGGCAACCTTCCTGGAAGTAAGAAACATGAGGTGCAGAGACCCTCACGTGCCCCAAGGTGTTTCGACAAGGAGCTGAGGCCATCAGTGGTGAGCCCCCTGGGGTGGGGGTGGGGCCGGGTAGGGCCCCAGGGCAGAAGCACAGGTCCCCACGAGGGGCACTCCAGTCCACTTTTGATAAAACCTTCTCAAACACATTTGGAGACACTGCTGCCCCTCCCCTCTCAGGGCAACGGACCCTGTGGACCTCAGAGCCAGGAAGACGCAAGCCCCACGGAGATACCCGCAGCCAGCCAGGCAGGGGGACCCCGCAAGCTACTGCAGCCTCCGCACAGAGATGAACGTCAACTTGCTGAACCCCGGGAGTCCATAGGAGGAAGGCTCTGGGGGACCTTGGGGTCTAGTGGGAGGGCTTGCCAGGGACGAAGGTCAGAGGCCACAGAGGCAGTGCCCGCTGGTGGAACAGGCAAGCCTTCAGTCCCGGTTACACAATGTTTGGAGTAATCTCACATCCAACACAATTGAGTTTTAGTGCTTAAATTACCTCAAAGCCTGGAAACAGCTGCAAGCCATGGTTAATAAAAGCCTGTAATTGAGACCAGCTTCCTCTCCTCCCAGCAGAACAAGCAATATTTGTGTTTTGTTTCCACAACCAGCTGCACAGTTCCCTAGGGAAATGCTAACAGATTTAATTTGGAGAAAATTTAAGGCCCGAGAGTCATCTTAGATTTGATGTGGAATAAAGCAACAACGTGAACAGGAACTCAAACACGCATGCAAATTTCATCCCCTACGGTTCAGTGTCTGAGCACTGTGCTGAAGAAAAGCATGTAGACCCACATCTGAAGTCTGCTGCTTAGTAAATACTAAATAAAAAACTGTTATTTTGTATCAACACCTAACCCAGATTAGACAAAATCCATAAAGCACATATGTTTGAACTGCTAGTTACAACCCGCTGGGTATTTTTGGCAAAAAGAAAAGGGCAGCACTGCACATGCTAAGGTCACTAGTTTACCCATTAAGGCCACGTCGGGTGCATGTGTGTGCACGCGTGTGTGTGAGAACAGGTCTGTATTCCACCGCTGTCCCAGCTGCACTCACGGTGGAGTAGATGGTCACTTCCGTGCACGTGTGCATTAAATGGAGGTTATGACAGGGGTAGGGGGGTGCAGGGCAGTGCGCCGGGAACAAGGCATCGGGACGGAACGGCAACCTGGTACCACCAGGGCACGAAAGGACCTGAAAAGAATGTCTCTCTCATTTGGAAACATGGCCATTATTACAAAAATGAGAAACACCTGATCTGATCCAGCAGTTTTGGCAAATCCTGAGCTGAGCACCCCAGGAGCGCCTGCCCTGTGGTGTGGAAAGCCGCTGGGGCCCCGAGGCTGAGCAGATGGTGCCTCCCGGGTGGGCTCCCGCCCAGTCCAGCCCTGCTACAATGGAGGCTCTGCGTGTCTTCAGAGACGCACATGTGGGGTGCGTAACATGGCACCGGGGCCCCAGGGCATGTGATCCATGGAAGGACCGCAGGGCGAGAGGGCACGCTCCAAGAAAAGCTTATCTAGACTTCATCTGCTCGATTGCTTCTGAAAAGTCCGAGTGCGTTTCATGACAAAAGCAGCTTTCTGAGCCCTTGTGGGACGGAGCACTGGGCTCTCCTGCCCCCCACGCCTGGCGCAGATGCAGGGCCCAGGACGCCTGCACCCCCATACCCTCCGCCCTGATGGCAGAATTCCCCATGTGCGAGGACATGGGGTCAAACCATCCTGTGCGGCTGATCACCCAGAACAGAATTCACAGTTCTCGCCTCGACCCACGGAACAGTGTTTCTATGAAGCGGGGAAGCACAGGGCGCCGAGGGGGCTCCTGCACACGGAGGGCGTGGTCCCGCACCTCTGCCTGCTGCGGGGCTCTGGCAGGGCCCTGCTCTGTGCCTGCCTGAAGGGGCTGCACTTTCTCCGCAGGTCAGTTCACCCACAGGCCGGCCTGTGAGTCAGACCAGACAGCCCAGAGGACACAGATGCAGACACCCACAGGTGCTCACACAGCGAGTCTGGACCCAGCTGCCTGCTCAAAGAGCAGGGGGAGGACTCTGCCCTCCGGGGACCCCCTCAGGGTTTCCCCTGCCCATCAGGTCCCCGCCACCGGGAAGACCCAACAGGATGGTGCGCTCACCTGAGCCCCCGGCTATCTGCAGTGCTCCTCTCCAGCTGGTGCCCCCGCGGCGCCCCCAGGGCCTCGGGCGATAGGCCGCGCCCCGGTTCCTCCTGCTCCGGGGGCTTCTTCTCGCTGTCGCTGTCGTCGCTGCCCTCGCCCAGGATGTCGTCCACCTGACAAGGGGCCCAGTGTCAGCACAGACGCAACATCTTCCTGAGGAACCTGCCTGGCGGCCCCTCCCCAAGGGTGGGTCTCAGCACCGCCCGCTCCCCGGGAGGACACGCAGCAGCTCC